CTCCAGAGTTGAGTTGTGGGATTATAGGTGTGTACCACCAAGCCCAGAAAACAACTCTTACTTTACTTTTTCTTCCCCTCTCAAAATACTTCTAGTGCTGGGACCACGAAAACTAAAAATTAAAGAGACATTGACCAAATCTAGAAAAAGGTGGGCAATATAATGGGCAAAACAGAAGGGAGTCAGAGTAAACACTGGAGGAAATAGGATTCTTCCTCCTTCCATACACTTCCTGAATCTAACCGTAGAACACTGTGCCTTCCTCATCTCTTCCACACACAACACCATATCCATTTACTGGCTGGATGTGGTGTAGTATGCTTGTAATCCCCACTACTCAGGAGGCTGAGGCAGAAGGATCACAAATTCAAGGCCACCAGGGGGCAAAACCTCATCTCAAAAAATGAAAATGGCTTGAGATATAGCTCAGTAATAGAGCCTCTCTGAGTCTCAATAACGCTAGGAACTGTGTTGCTTGCCTGTAATCCCAGCAATTTAGGAACCCGAGGCAGGAGGATTGCAAGGTCTTCAAGGCAGTCAAGATGACATAGTGAGACCTTGTCTCAAAATAAAAAATCAAAAGGGCCAGAGATATAGCTCAGTGATAAAGCACATGGCTTGAGGCCTTGGGTTCAATCTTCAGCACTACACATTTACCCCACCCCAAATTTGTTTTTGTTTTTTTTTTTTTTTTAGAAAAACATGAGCTTTATTTTTTAACAAACCAGTTTTGTTAATTTTTAAGTTTGTATAATTTTATATATCGCAACAATTATCCTTTTGAATTATCTTTTCCATTCATTTGAAAACAAGAGGTACCTTAACTCAAGGATGGTATGAGAACAAGTGACAGGCCAGATGGCCCACAGGCTGCACCCTGCTGACCTGAGCCCCGAAGTTTTAACACAGAATGAAGAAAATAAACAATTTTCTGTTTCTTTTTGTTTTTATACTTTTAATTTTTAAGTTATGCATAATATTAGGATTCATTTTGACACATGCATAAAAGGATAAAATATAATTGGCTCTAATTCGGCCCTCAGTACTCCTCCCTTCCCTTTCTACTCCCTCCTCCTAGAGAAATACAATCTTGAACTTTGTTTTACTTTCTATTTAGTTTGGGGTTTTTTTTGTCTGTATTTATTTATTTATTTTAAATATTTGTTTTAGTTATACCTGGGCACAATATCTTTATTTTGTTTATTTATTTTTATATGGTGCTGAGAATCTAACCCAGGGTCTCACACGTGTGAGGCGAGCACTCTACCGCTGAGCCACAACCCCAGCCTCTGTCTATATTTATTTAACATATTCCAACAGTATTCATGAACTGTGTCAAGTAAAAATTAAATGATGCCTGCTTTAATAAAAGAAAAAAAACACAAGAATCATGGCAAAATGTGTGAGATATGATATTGAATGAAAAGCATGTTAATGAACCAATTCTTATGAATCCTGGAAGGCAAGATTAAACCCTGAATAAATAATCTAAAAATCTTTTAGGTTCCACCCCAAATTTGAAAAAACTAAACATACCAGAATAAAGGATGCTGTTCCCACTTAGTTTTGTTAGTGCTCTTTGACATAATTTACCTTTCATATCAGTTTGTGTATATGGGTAATTTTACTTCTGTGGCTTCTATGTGAACTTATTTAAAAAACTATAAAGATGTAGATTTTTATATTAGTTCATCTAAATAGTTTATTTAGTTGGATCCTTCTTTGTCTCCTTTCTATCTGGTACACCACTCTAGGGGAAAATGGAGTTAAGTGTTGGTTTTTTTTTTTTTAATATTTTTTATAGTTTTTTAAATAGTTTCAAACCCAGTCTCTGAAGTATGGCCACGCAAGCGCTCAACCACTGAGTTACATCCCCAGCCCCTGGGGTTAAGTTTTCTTTTTTTTTTTTTTTACTTGTAGGTGGACACAATACCTTTATTTATTTTTATGTGGTGCTGAGGATTGAACTCAGTGCCTCACACATGCTAGGCAGGCACTCTACCTCTGAGCTATAGCACAGCCCTTGGGGTTCAGTTTTAAGATGCATAAAATCCATATCTCTACCCCCAGAGATCTGCTTCAATTTCTTCGTTTAGTAGGACTCAAAGGAAAATGAGAGCTGGGGTATCTTGTACCTAGTGCTCTTTGATTCTGTGGTATGTGTTTGTTTGTTTCTAAGAGCTTAAAGATGTTATGCCAATTTACAGGAGATAGGGAGTTTCGAAAATAATTCTTTTTTAATATTTTTTTTAGTTATAGTTGGCCACAATACCTTTATTTTATTTATTTATTTTTATGTGAGGATAGTACCCAGAGCCTCACACATGCCAGACGACTGCACTACCACTGAGCCACAACCCAGACTCACGAAAAGAATTTTTGAATAATCAGTTCATTTGCTAATGGGGGGAGAGAGAAAGGAAAAATTGGATTGGGTGGTCCCTGTGGAACTTCTGATCTAGTATTTTCCAGGTATGTAGTTTAACCTGCTTTGTCCTAATATAATCTTTCTTCCCCCCAGTGCTGGAGTTGAACCCAGGGCTTTGTATATGCTAGGCAAGTACTCTGTCTCTGAGCTACATCTACATCCTCCCCTTTAAAAAAAAAAAAAAAAAAATCTTACTTTGAGATGGAATCTTGCTGAGTTACTCGGGTTGGCCTCAAATTTTATTTTATTTATTTATTTTTGGTACTGGGGGTTGAACCCAGAGGTGCTTAACCACTGGGCCATATCCCCAGCCCTTTTTCATATTTTACATTATTTTTTATTTTGGGGGGGAGGGTGCTGGGGATTAGAACTCAGGGCCTTGTGCATGCAAGACAAGCACTCTATTAACTGAACTATGTCCCAGCCCTGTGGCCTAAATTTTCAAACCACCTGCCTCAAATCTCCTGTAGCTAAGATTATAGGTGTGTACCATTGCACCTGGCTCAGACTCCATCTCTTTAAAAAAAAGGTTAAAAGTAATGACTTTTAATGTTTTCATCATAAACAAATGAAAATGTTTGAGGGATTAGGTATGTTTGACTTGATTTAAATATTGCACAATATGTGCATATATCAAAACATTGCCTGCTACACGTTAATAGATATAATTTTATGTATCAGTTAAAAACAAACTTAATTTATAAGATTTGAAGTGTTTGTCAAAGAGATGTTGTCATTTTCATATTCATAGCAACACTATTCATAATAGCCAAGTTGTAGAATCAACCTAAATGTCTCTCAACAGATGAAGAGATAAAGAAAATATGGCATATTTTCACAATGGAAGACTATTCAGCCTTTAAAAAGAAGGAAATTCTGTCATTTTGTAATTGCAGGATGGAACTGGAGAACATTATGCTAAGTAAAAGAATCCAGACACACAAAAACAAATACTACATGTTCTCATCACATGTGGAATCTAAAATAATCAAACTCACAGAAGCAGTGGGTAGAATGGCTGTTAGAAAGGCTGAGAGGTGGGGGGAGTATAAAAGGGTACAAAATCTCAGGAGAAATGAGATTCTTTTTTTTTAAAGATCTAATTGCACACCTTGGTGAATTTTATTAATAGTGTATTACGGAAGCTGGGGTTGTGGCTCAGTGGTAGAGCGCTGGCTTAGCATGTGTGAGGTACTGGGTTTGATTTTCAGCACCACATATAAATAAATAATAAAGTTCCATCAACAACTAAAAAATATTTTAAGGAAAAAAAATAGTGTATTGTACATTTCAAAATTACTAAGTAATTTCAAATGTCCTCACCACAAAGAAATGATGGGTTATCTGAGGTGATGGATATATTAGCTTGATTCAGTTATCCCATATTATACTCATAAGTCATATCTCTTTGTACTCCATATAAGAGCTATAAATTGTTAATTTACAATTAAAAAAAAAACACCATGAATAGCCAACTACAGTGAGACACAACAGTAGGATGACAACTACAAAAGAGAAACACAGGGGAGCTGGGGTTGTGGTTCAATGGCAGAGAGCTTGCCTAGCATGTGTGAGGCACTGGGTTCGATTCTCAGCACCACATACAAATAAATGAACAAAATAAAGGTCCATCAACATCTAAATAAATAAATAAAAGAAACACATAGCTCACTGGTAGAGTGCTTGCCTTTACTGCAGCCTGCAGGAACCCTGGGTTCAATCCCCAGCACACACACAAACAAAACAAAAAACTCAGCCTTCAAAAAGTGAATATTAGAATTTTAAAAAATTAAATTGATTGCCTTTATGGATTTGGTCCTCAAGAGTAAGTTTTCTGAACCACATTAAGCCAAAGGAGAAGGTATCTACCAAGGACTTCAATAGCAAGGATAAATTGGTATATAATTAATGAGTATCTGAGGGCAGGGAAGGTGCTTTTTTGAAAAATATGTCATTACTGAGAGATGCTGTTATTTATTTATTTGCTGTAATTGGCTCCTGTTTCCAATCTCAGTTGCAATTCCCACATTGAGGCTGTTCCCACCCTTCCTGTGTCCCTTGAGCTGAGCAGGCACTTCCTGTCCTATTGGAAATGAAAGTTACAGACTGGGGGTGGATGTGTATGTGTGTATTTACTCTGCAGAATGCTAGTACTGTCTGTTCCATTATCATAGCAAAAAAAGTGACAGGAAAATCAGGCTGGAGACCAGAACTTCATTTTAGGAGCTTTATGTTTGTTGTGACAAAACAGACTGGATCAATTGATGTTTGGAGGGTACTTGTGATGTAGCAGGGTGGCCTTAAGAAGGGATTTGAACACTTTCATTCTAAGTCCTGTTCCACTTAGATGGGGAGGGTTCCTGGGTATCAATGTTAAGTTTTTGGCTTACTAGAATTTTCTTGTTAAGGCTTCTTCTACAAGGGATTTATTTGAAACTATTAAATTTAAATCTTGTTACAACTGTGTTAGGTTCATACTCTTAAGTTATGTTTTTCTCCCTAGGAAATTTTCTATTTTTCTTCTTTAAAACATATGTTCTTTAAATAGTTATGTATATATTTATTTTTACAGCTCCAAGAGGACTTAAGCAGCCCTCCCAACTCTACAAACTTCAGCGTGGACATAAATTCCAGTTTTGGTGAGTTGCTGTACTTATTTCAGCTTCATGGATCTTAAAAGACTTGGAAATAGTGGGATAAAGAGTCAAATAAGATATATTTCAGTCTGATAATGGCTTTTTTGGTGGGGAGGGTGCCAGGGATACTTAACTACTGAGCCACATCCCCAGACCTTCTTATTTTTTTATTTTGAAACAGGGCCTCACTAAGTTCCTTAGGGTCTTGCTTACTTGCTGAGGCTGACTTTGAACTTGTGATCTATCCTCTTGCTTCATCCTCCCAAGCTGCTCGGATTACAGGCATGCACCACCTGGCCTGATAATGCCTTCTTAAATATGAACTCCTTCCTGAGAGAATCTGAAATAGGAGTCCCAGGGTATCAGCATAATCTGGGAGAAACAGAACTATCTAAGGATCTAAAATTCATTTTTCCCCATTTTTAATTTTCTCTGCTTTTTGGTGTGTTCCTCTGTTCTTTATTAGAGCATTAAGATCACTCTAAATATACTTTTCTCAGTGTATTTTCTTTTTTTTGTTGGTAGGGGACTGAACCCAGGGGTACTTAATCACTGAACCACATCCCCAGCCCTTTTTATATTTCATTTCTTTGCTAAGCTGCGTAGGGACTTGCTAAATTACTAAGGCTGGCTCTGAACTATCCTCCTGCCTCAGCCTCTTGAGTTGCTGGGAATTTGTTTTCTTTATGTATTCACCAAGTCAATATCTCAGTGGTCCCTTTGGCATCAAGCTTAAAATCTTCTTATAGCTGAGATCTGAGGAAAGGGAAATTTTTGTTGTCTTTTCATAAGAATCAGAATTTGTTCACAGAGTAAAGGGGATGAATTTGAAAAGGGTTAGACCTACAAATTCTTCTTTCTAGCTTTAACTACTGAGCTTATGGAAAACAAAAAACTAATATCTTGGGCATTAGGACCCAGTGGAAGTGGCTCGTTCAGACTCTGGACCAACTTCTCTCAGTGACGTAGAAGCAGCCCTAACTCATTCTTACCCGCAGCCCCCCCATCTCTCTCTCCTGCTCCCTTTCGCCCCTTTCTCCTCCCCCTCCCTTCTCTCTCTCCCTCCCCCTTTTTTTCTCCCTCTCTCTCTCTTTCGCCCTCTTTACCCCCTCCCTTTCCTTCTCACTCTTCTCTTTCTCAGTTCTCTTACATTAAAGAGAAAATGCTGCTATCAGTGACTTCCAGGCCTGGGATTTCAACTTTTGGCTATAACAAGAACAACAAAAAGGTAGGGAAAAGAGCTTTTTTGGAATTCAGCTACTTCCTTTTCTGGGGATCCGGGAGTGCCCTTGGCTTTAGCATTCTCCTTTAAGAGGGGAATGAGTTCCTCCCTCGGCTAAGTGCTCTCTTTTCCACTACTACTTTTGGTGCCATTTCTCACCTGGTTCTGGTGTTAAAAGAGTTTACAGTCCCCGTTTATGAGGCCTGAGAAGGCATGGAAATTAAAAACAAATCAAGCTTGCAAGTTTGTATCCTTGAGAAATGAAGTTAGACTCCCAGATGATACATACCTATCTCCATGGGGGATAATATGTCATCTCAGACCACGTCCCCTAGCCCACTTCCAACAAACTCATTTTGACTTTTGGTCAACAATGTCTATTCTCCTCCACTCTGCCTTTCTTTCTTTTATTTATTTTATGTATGTATTTATATTGTGCTAGGGATCAAACCCAGAGTTTCCTGCATGCCAGACAAGCACTCTACCACTAAGCTACATCCCAAGCCCCCTACCTTCCTTACTATCACCAGATTGCTGAAATCACAGGTAGTGCAGTTTTACAGCTCATCAAGAACTTGGTATGTTCTCCTAGACCCTGAGACCCTATCCCACTCATTTTATAAAGAAGGAATCTTGAGAGATGACATTCCTTGGGATTAAGGCATAAAGGTCTGTGATTCTTTGGATCTTGCTTATTATGATCTGATACTTGGAGCTCTGCAGATAACCAGGCTTAGCAGGGATCCTTAGAGTCTTTATGATTAACCATGGCTTCCAGAGATATGTACTGTGGTTGGGCACATGGGCAGTCTGGAAAGACATGGACAATCTTGCCCATATTTGCCAGGGAATATCTTTGGGAGTTTCTTGGCATTTCAGGGCACAGTATTGATTAAGAGAAATTTTATGGGGCTGGGAATTTAGCTCAGTGGTAGAGTGCTTGTATAGCTTGCATTTGTTGAATATGCATATCCTGATAACCTCCTATTAAATGTTATACAGTTTTATGTATTATACATATATATTTGAGAGGGAAATATTTCATCTATCTTTATTCTCTTCAAATTGGTATAGTACTGTATTAAAGCTTCTTTCCTCGGGATGGGGATGTGGCTCAAGCGGTAGCGCGCTTGCCTGGCATGCGTGCGGCCCAGGTTCGATCCTCAGCACCACATACAAACAAAGATGTTGTGTCCACCAAAAACTAAAAAATAAATATTAAAAAAAATAAAATAAAGCTTCTTTCCAGATATTTTTTCTCTCCACATTTGTGGTTACTCAGAACCCACTAAAATAAAGTAAAATGAATCTCCAAAATTGACTGTTTTCCTATATCAGGGTTTTATGAATTTGAAGATATCTAAAACCTCTCTCATCATCAGCTCTCCACTCCCTTTACCCCCTGGGAGAATAAGAAGTGTTTAACTAGCTTCTAAATCTAGTGCAGTATAGGGAACAAAAAGTAAGGTTGTAAATTTGAGTTCGAATTTCATATCTCTTCCTGATAACCTGTAAGATATAGGAAGAAATTCAGGAAACATTGGGACGGGTGGGCAGGATAGGAATAACATTGTATAACATTAGTAACATTGTTACTAATATGTTTGTCAATCTTTGGGTTCTATGGGTCACTGTTATGTATGAGACATCTAAGGATGCTGTATATTTACATCCTTTTGTGTCTGTATATAAGACTCTTGTGTGTTCTTGTTAGATTGTGAATGTTGAGTGTATTTAAACTAATGCTTTACCATGTTTCTAGTCTGCTATTGACATATAGGCTTAATATGTTTGTTTCTGTTTTGGGACAAGTGTTATGGATACATTTTCATTTATTCATGTAATTTGTGCTTTTTAAAAATAATCTAACATTAATTTTTTAAAAAATAACAGCTTTTTAGTGGTAAATGTAAGGTATACCCTTTATTAAATTAAACATAAAGGGATTTATAAAATAGTCCTCTCTTTGTGTCCTATAGTTCTTTACTCATCCAATTCCTCAAGGAAAGTAACTGGTAATAGTTTGGTGTATGTGTCATTTGAGACTTTTTTTTTTTGTACCAGGGATTGAACCCTGAGGCTCATTGCCACAGGCCTACATCCCCAGCCCTTTTTTATTTTGAGACAGTGTCTCACTAAGTTGCTGAGGTGGCCTTGAACTTGCAATCCTCCTGACTCAGCCTCATGAGCCACCGGGATTACAGGAATGTGTCACTGTACTCGCATCCAGACTTTTTTAAAATGCTAAAACAGAGTTTTAATCTTGACAGTAGCTAATTTGCTGTTTCTATTAAGATAACCTGTAAGATATAGGAAGATATCAGGTGGACCCAATCTATGTAATAAAGTTGTAATAAAGTTGTTGGACCTGCTCCAAATGTTTAAAAAATGGAAATAGGGGTATATAGCTCAGTGGTAGAGCATGTGCTTGGCATACTCAGGAAGCTCTGAGTTTAGTTCCCGGCATCCATCCCTTAATAAAAAAGCAATCAAATTATACATATCTGCTACTTTTTTTTTTAAAGACCAGAATTTTTACACCATAATTTGCTGTTGTCTATAGTCATCACCTGTGGTTTTTAGAATAAGAGATTACCAGAGATATTACCATTTTGATTTTTTAATTTTTTAAGAGAGAGAGAGAGAGGGAGAGAAAGAGAGAATTTTTTTTTAATATTTTTATAGTTTTCAGTGGACACAACATACAACATCTTTGTATGTGGTGCTGAGGATTGAACCTGGGCCGCACGCATGCCAGGCGAGCGCGCGCACTACCGCTTGAGCCACATCCCCAGCCAGTTATTACTATTTTGAAAAGTTGCTTTTTGTGTACCACTTGTGACTTGCTTATATTAAAGTGTATTATTTACTAGATTTTAAAAAGTAGGATTACTTAATTTTTTCCCCTTCTTTTCTGGGTATTGAATCCCAGGTGCTTTACATCCCCATTATCCCCACCCCATTTTTTTTTTTTTTTTTTTTTTTGTGGTGCTGGGGATTGAACCCAGGGCCTTGTACAAGCCTTGTATAATTTTCTCTTCCCCAGTCCTCCCCAGCCCTTTTTATTTTCACTTTTTTATTTGGGGATAGGGTCCTGCCTAGGCTGGTCTTAAACTTATGATTCTTCTGCCTCGGCCTCATGAGTTGTTGGGATTACAGGTGTGTGCCACCACACCCAGCAGGATTATTTTATTTTGAAATATATACTTACTGGAGAAGTTTCTAAGAAGCTCATGACAATCATACTTTTCTTACGTTTTGGCTAGTGTTAAATATAAGAATGCAGTCAACAAAAGCATAATGCCTAATAAAGGCAATCTTTATTGGGATATAGTGTTAAATTCCCATTTATTTCTTTGGAATAAAAATAGTTACAGAAAGGGGAAATGTGGACTTCAAAAAGGGATTCTGGAAGATAATTTAATGTACTTTTTAAAAACATCAGCTTTAATGGCCTTCAATTAGTCTTTTTTATAGGGCTGAAGCAAAAAAAAAGTTATTTCTAGGGTCTTGCCACTGTGTCTTCAGTGTTTGAGTGAGTTGTCTCAGTAGGGAGACTGGAGTATAGGTGAGGTTGAAGGAGGAAATATTTGGGACTAAAGGAATTTCATACTTGTACAGGGCCTAACCACACCTTCCCTGACATCATCTTCCTGGCATGTGTTATTATAATTTAACTCCTCATAGCATCAATAACCATTTCCTTTGGAAAAAAAGAAAAGGGAGTGCATTTAATGTGGGATAATTAGCTTTCCCCATGTATTTTACACAGTTTCAATTTCTTCTTGATGTTAACACATTGAAGACCAATGTGGGGCTGGAGGCTATGATGAAAATAGGACTGACTAGTGGATGTTGCCAGATCTTTAATCTTTGATAAGCTTCAGTTAACTGAAATGGTCAAGGTGTTTACTCAGAAGAGAGTGAGAAACACTGCTGGAATCATTTGTACTTATAAAGGGAGAGAGAATTTTCTGCATTTATATTTACTACATTTTTGTCTAATCAATTTGAAGAGAACTGAGAACTAAGAACTTGTAGGTCTAACATCTCTTGACTAGGACAGCTTTTTTTGTGTGTGTGTGTGTGTGTGACAAGGTCTTACTATGTTGCCTAGGCTGGCCTCAAACTTCTGGGCTCAAGTAGTCCTCTTGCCTGAGCCTCCTGAGTAGCTGAGACTACAGGTACATGCTGCCATGCTTGGCTTAGGACAGCTATGAATTATGTTATTAGTATTAAGTTAACTCAGTTGGTTGAAGCTTAATGGTGATATCTTAACATCAATCCCTCCATTCCACTTTTACATACCACTCTAATTTGTACTCAATTTTGACTATTTTTACTACTATAGTAAGCATTCCACATGATGTCCTTGTCTACTGTTTTCCTACCTTTTATGCTTTGCCCCCAAATAAAAAGAAATTTATATTTTTGGTTGTCCTGGAGATTGAATCTACCACAGAGCCACATCCCTGGTTCTTTTTATTTTGAGATAGGGTCTGGCTAAATTCCTGGATTTATAGACACGTTTCACTCTGCCCAGCTGCCTCCAAGTAATTTTATACCTGCTTCCAGAACAATCTTCCAACAACCCAGCATTCTAGCACAGATTATTTCTTGTATAAAACATTTTTATAGTTATATATTACCTGCTGGAAAAAGCCTAAATCCCTAGCCTAATATCCACCTATCTTGCCTTTCCTTATTTTCTCCACCTTACTGGATCCCCCCACCCCCCCACCCCACTGATTTCATTACATTCACTCTGCTTACCAGTTGTGTTAACTGCAGTTCTCTGGTTGTGTCCTTTGATTGCTGGTTTGCATTTCTGAATCCATAGGAAAATGTTCAATAAAACAGAAAAGAATATGACTAACAGGACAAGGTAAAAATATAGATTAGAATAAGAGATTAATTGGAATTAAAAGTTGAACAGGCAGTCCATAAAATTATATAATGGAAAATAAGGACTGAAAAATAGCCATTGATTTTGTTAGTATTAAAGT